GTATTTCTTTGAGAGAGAGAACACAGATTGTGTTCAAGCAAAAGTTTTAGAGTTTGAAGAAAGTAGGACTGAATCATTTGATTCAATTTAGCCTTTTAACTAGTCATGCCAAAGAAATAATTACTGTTCGTAGACACAGACATCAATATCTAACACAAAAATATTAGAGTCCTTCCTTCTGCTCTATCCTCCTAAAAAGATTGTTAAACTGTGTGCATGCAAGGGTGAAGAAATAGGGAAAAGGAAGGAAGCACCTGCAGAGTAACAGGAAGACCTCCACTAGAGGACACTTTAGGGGGACAAGGTAACAATCACTCATAACTGATGGGAATTTCCTTAGAATTAAACCTGTTAAGAGCGTGATTCTGACAGTATAACAGCCATTCTGAGTCAGTCTAAAGGTCTGCACAGCCCAGGATCGCACTGCCAACAGTGTCACTAGCAGACACACAAGGATATAAAAAAAAAAAAAAAAAAAAAAAGAATCTGATATGATTTCTCAACTATTAGCAATCACTGAACAATTTTGTAGGTTACTGGTGTTAAAAGACACTGACAGATCTATCCTTCAACAATTGGCTTACTACTGTTTGAATATAAATACATTTGTATTTTTCCTTCCAAAACATCCTATGGCTAATAGCCCCATACCGTAGCACTCTGTGTCCACCTTTTACTTATGTGTTGAGAGTAAAAAATGCCTTATGTTATCATTATTTTCATGGTCTGAGTTCTTGTGTGAAGAAATAGTAAATAATACATATTTACCTTTTGCACATACTTCTTGATTTTGTAATCCCTCCTCTATACAGACCTTCAGTTGTTTCTTTTCAAAGCTGAAGAATCTGACTCCTTTTAGTCTCTATTCATACAGTAGCTATTTCATAATTTTAATCATCCCTTATCAGTCTTGTTCTGTTTTATAATTGTAACAATGGGATGAACAGACTCTGTATACCAGTTTCCATTTTTAGCATGGATCTTAACATTCTGGAAAGCAGAGCCTTTGGATCAAAAGTTTGGGAAAGCTTTCCTCCAGACCAGTCAAATCTGGCATTGCTCTATACACTGTAAACAGCCTTTCTTTATCATCCTGGAAGGTTGCTATAGTTATATTAGGGAAATTATTATCTAAAACCCCATAAAATTAGTGACTGAAGGGGCAAATTAAGTTTTGCCAAAATCCCATTTCTTATAAATGATTAATAAATTTCATTTTAGTTGGGGCCAAAAAGAACGGTGCGCAAATGTAAGCATTTTGGCTCCTCCTGTGTCAACACTGAAGAGTTTAGTCAGTTTTCCCAGTTCTTATTAGGCATATCAAACACTGGCCTTTTTAATTCAGTTTATTAAGAGGCTTTAATATTTTATTGGGTTTATATCCTATTCAATAATGTTTAGTTTGTTTATGTTTCACTTAAATCCAGTTACTTTTCTGTTAGGCAGGAATGAAGTTCAGATGATATGTAACACCAACAATAACTGGCAGACATACTGATTGTCTTATGATAATATTAATGTTAGCAGTGCAGGCCAAATTGCTATGGTCAAAGCTGTCTGACATAGCAGATTTTATCCAGTTACATATGGCTTGAGGGTGAACTTTGGTAAAATTACAGAAAACACATTATGATATTTCCTTAGAGTCATATTTATACAATTTGACAGCTGAAAACCATACTTGGTCTCCAACACATACCAGGGAGATCACCACCTGAATACCTCTGTCATGAGTTATTGTTCGGCTCATTAGTATTTGAAGCCTGGACTCCATGAGCTTTAAAATATATAATGCACTGTAATTTTTATACTTGTGTATAAAAATTTCAAGGTAAGTATTTCAGATTATCTCAGAGGGAAAATCTGAAATTCTTGTTATGGGAAAACTTCTTTTGTTTAATGAAAACATTTCTTTACAGTGAGTGGCTAAGTTAAGTGGCTTCAAATTTCACAGCAGAATTGGTCTCGTCATTAGGAAAGACAAATTCTTGCCTTTATATTAGCTGTTATTTGAATGGAGATAAATTGAGAAGATGGAAGCTAATCTTTCAAAAGTTTCATCCCATGTGAAGTACTAAATCCAGTTTCTGGATTACTCACGAGTTAAGCATAAGAAAGGAAAAAAGGAGACTAAAATTACTTTTTTTTTGCCAGACTCTTGTTGACTCTGCCAGTCTGTGAAATGGAGTCCGATAATTGGGCCAGATCCCAGAGTAACCCTACTGTTGGCCATGTAAATCTTGTCATGTTGTGTGTGGGCTTTGTTTTTTTTCTTCAGTTTCCCTAAGAATTCTACTTGAACATCCTGTTGATTTCCTAATACTTGTCTCGTTTTTTTTTTGTTTTTTTTTTTTTTTTTTTTTTTTTTTTCTGCATACTTATTCATTCCCTACTTTAACTGGAAATATCTCAGACACTATGTAGCCGGTTCTGATTTCTCAGCTAGCCTTTTTTCACTTTCTAATCAAATATGTTTTTCATAAGAAACATGGTATCTTCAATCAGAATATTATTTTATTGATTTTATTTTGTTGTTATTTTAAAAAGCTGAATGAACTGAACAGCACTAATGCCATCAGTAACTATTATGAAGTCGTTCTGAAATGTTCTTCTTACTCTATTTCATAATGGCTATTACTATTGATGTTACTGTGTTCCTACCTGATAATACAGTAAACAATTTAATCTGCAAACCATTACTTAATTCTTGGATTTTAGAACTGTCTTGCAAATAACTAATAGGGCTTTACCAAAATTCTACCTAACTTCTGTTAGTTTGTGCAGCTCCTCAAGACTTGTGTGGCCCATGTTAGTGAGGCAGGTTATTTTCAGCTGAGCAGAATAAGATAAATACCAGGCAGTAAGCATTACAAGGAGAAAAGCGTGTGAAAAATTAAAATGAGAATTTATTTACAACACACCCTATATAAGCTTGACCTTGTTCACATTGTAACCATTTCCAACACCCCAAAGACATCAACCTATACAAAGCTGAGCCTCATAAAAACAGAAAATGTGAAGGTTATGTGGCAATACACTGACAAGTTTTAATACCACCTCTTTCATAGCAAATGGCCAACATAGGTGCAGAACTCCCTGCTACTGGTGCGTGCTTACAAAAATGAGAGAAAAAAAGGCAAAGCTCTACAGGTACAGAACATAGGCCATCACACACACATTGAAAAGTCATGACCTCCAATATTAAGTCAACAGTTCTGTCCTTAACTCTCTGTACATAAAGAACAATGGCAGATAGAGTTAGGAATACTGTGTCACCATAAATTGAGAAGCTAGTGCATTTTGTTGCTTTGCCCCAACCTTAATGTTACGCAAATGCTGTTTTGTTGTGCCTTTAACACAATAAAGGACTAATTCCTAAGAAATCAAAGATATAAGTCATGTAAATGAAAACTTGTAAATTATGTCAGTAATCCATAACTCATACAACTGATTTGGAAACCAGAGCCTTTATGGTTCAGAAAGAAGTAATTGCTTTATTAACTCCCATTTATCAGTATAAAATTGGCTAATTTAACTGACTGACTGATTTATATATTGATACTTTAAATTTAGCTCAACATCCTAATTTAATAAGGGGATCACATATGGATGTTTAAAAATATATTACTTTCTAGTTGGTTGATACTCTAAGCATGCCCTTATTAAGACAGATTATCTCCTTTCCCTTGTTCTTTTCAGAGAAGGACAAAACAAATTATATATCTCATTTATTCTATCTGACAGAAAGGCCATGTTTCCATATAACCCCCTCTCTAGTAATATATTGAATGCATGGCTGACCACATCATTCATTCTCGTTTTAACATCCATGATGTCATAATCTTTTGCAGCAGTAGGGGTATATTCTGGCCTGCAGTCTTTGGGAAATCACCACAGGGAGTCAGACTACTGAAGCATAGTCAAGCAATAAATCTATCAGGTATGCTTGAAATAAACGTTTGAAAGAAAATATATATATATATGGATTTATACACCTTCTACTCTATTTTACCATTAATGGTTCTTGTTTATTTCTACCTGATCCTAACTTATATATTAAGAACAGGAAATTTTCAGTAACTTCCTTTAAACTGTAAAACTGGGGAATAGGTTGGTGAAATGTTTCTTACTTTAATTAAAAATTTTGATATTACCAACCATGACAATATGCTCCTCAAGGGAAAGACACAGGTTAGGATCCTAATGAGCACCATTTTATTATTTTGTTTCATTTAATTATATTATTTTATTTTTTGGATATTAGCATTAAGCAACTGATAGCTTTAACAATCAGAATTTATAACCTATGTAAGCAAGATTATAGCCAGTATATGATGTAGGAACATGAATGTTTAATGCATATGCTAAAGGTAAAAGTGTGATCATTCAGTTTCTTTTTCTTTCAGAATTAGCACTTGTGTGAAGTGTGGTATTATTAAGATGTGATTGTATGAAGAGTAAGACAGAAAGCTCTGTGACAGATTACATTCAATGCATTTCTTCAGATTTTTATCCATAGCAATTAAAACAATCACCCATCCAAAAGCAAATTTCACTATTAATTCCAAGGCTGAAGTATTAAGTAATGTGTAGGATTTTGACCACAGAATCAGTCAAACTCCAAAGAATAACAAGAGAGGCCTACTATCAGGTAACAATTTGTGTTAAACCGTGGCTGAAAATGTCCCATCTATATTTCATATTATCATCCAACAGACAATTTTTTTTTCTAGAACACCTCTTAAAACTGGTGGTTAGGAAATCAAAACCTTTTTTTCAGTCATTCATTCTAGTGATTTAAACTCAAGATGCTTCCTGACTCCGAATCTTTATAGCAGATGATTAGAACAATGGGAAAATTCATTTTCTGAAGCCAAGCCAAGTTCTAAAAGAAATTTTTCAATTGATTTTGGAGCGTAATTTTTTTAATGTAAGCCAGAATATGTGTTTTTGGTGCTTAGAAATTATCAAAGTGCTGTTTTGCAACACAGAAAACCTACCTCAATACTGACACATCATAGGACTTTTTCAGGGGTGATCCCAGTTTCAGGTGTCTAGGCTTAATGGGCTGTACCTCTGCTGAAGCTGGAGTTAGCCAGGAAAGCTACATACAAGAATTAAGCCTACAGTCTTCGTCATTTCATGACTATAGAGTCATCTGATCAGGGGGTGGGAAAAGAAAGCACCGCTTAGAATACTAGAAGTAAAACTCAGTCCCCTGGGTTTAAAATCCATGGTACTCTAGTTTTTGCATCCCCATAACAATAAAATCATATAATGTGGCTGAATTCATTATTTATTTTATTACCTTACTCTTCCTCATTCACCCTTCCTATTTTATACAGAATTTATTCTTCTCAGCCATATGGTACACACACATTTCCCTTAACATATGCTGCACATCCTTGTTTGGTGAATGTGAAAAATAAATGTCTGATTAGAACCAGAAAGCCACTAATGAAACAAAGTGGTCATTATTCCTTATAAAATAATCACTGAAATGGATTTCCTAATATTCTTCTCAAGGGGTATTTCCTCAGTAACAATAGGCTGATTGCTGAGATGGATGGGTAATTAAGATGAAAGATGTTCAAAAGGCTTAACGGTCTAGAAAGATGCTGAAGTTTGGACTTTTGTTCTGAAGTCAGCACAAAATGCTTCAAGTCTGTAGTTTACCAGAAATCCCTTTTCTTTCTCTTCCTTACAACTTCTGTTATCTTCATATGTAAATTTACAGTGAAAGTAGAGAGCGGTTTAACCTGAGGTAAGTTTGCAATAACGATACAGATTTCAGATGGTACATAAGGCTTGCAAGAAAAATAATACAGTTCTGTCTCATCACATCTCATCAACAAATGTCTCACTCAAATTCAAGTGTTCTGCAATTCAAAGCTGGCTCTGCAGTCTCACAGCATGATTGCACTCACGGTGCAATGGAGTCATCTTGTATTTATCAGGAGTGAACTACTGCCAGCAGCTGAAAGGTTTGTGGTTTTAAAGAGCATATTTCGATGTTGCCCATCATGTATTCACTCTCCAGAGTGGTGCACATTTTTCTCCCGTCCCCAGAAAAACTGTTTCAGGTCAAATCAAAAGAGATTGTGTCAAAGCTTATTACTTGTATTGTAATTTACAGTATATTATATAATTTTATGACAAAATATTTTGACATAAAAACAACAAAATATTGTGATCAAGTTGAAATGGAGACCATCAAACTTTGTTTTAATTTAAGGATATTTTGTCAGAAACAATACATTTTCCCAGATTAAAAAATCATTATCATCATCATCATCATCACTCTAGTGGTTTTGTTTGGTTGTTTTTGTTTTGTTTTGTTTTAAGAATACAATCAATTCCGTTAGCGATAACACACTGACAAATTATGATTTTTCAGGCTACTATTGTTTTAAAGCACAGTTTGTTCTCTATTTCTCTTCAAAAATAAGTCCAGAAATTTACCTGACCCACGAAGATTTTCCAGTTTGAATAAGTCATTCTGTTTAATCAACAAGACATAGTGTTCCTACAGTTAGCAAACCTGCTGGGGAACTTCAGAACATTTTTGACTGTATTGGATCAATAGGATTTTCATTTTGCTGTAGCTTCCTTAAACTTGAGAACCACCTTTTGAAAATAAATAGTAGTTATTGACCCAATGAAAACATTTTTATGTATGTCAAAATATAAGCGGTTAGTTTCACTTGTTTTAACATATACCTAGATCTATTTTAAATGGTGAGACATCTTCTCCCAGATCTTTCTGTATCCATAATAGAGGAAATTATGGGGGGGGGAAATCTCAGAATACGCATCTGTATGTTAAAGTTTTGAAAGTTTTGTTCAATGGATGCCATTTCAGAGAGTAGTGCACACTTCTGGAAGTATGAAACAGCCACTTTTGTGAAGTCTTCATGATTCCATATACTTCTACAAGCAAATTATATCCTACACTTTCAAGTGTGCCTGCTTTAATTTGCAATGCAGAAGCAGGACCAAAGCTTCTCCTTTTGTCCACATCCTGATATTCAGTACACTGAAAATAAACAAAGATGTCATTGGCTTCAGTGAGCTTTGCAGAAGTTTTCAAAGACATTTTTAACCATAGTAATCCTGTATATACCAATTGACTTAAAAAATATACCTACTCAGCTTGCAGAAGCAAAGACATACATATGACATACAAATGACATACAAAGACATACATATGTTGCAGAAGAAAAATAACTAGGTGTCTGCTTTAGGACTTAGAATAGGTGAATTCAAGGCACCACTTTACAAGAAACTTTCTATATGATCTTATACCAATCTGTCCTTCTGTGCTTTTGCTTTTCTGTATGAAAAAAAAAAAAATAATAAATCCATGAAAAATGAATGAAATGGATGAATATATATAATTAATGTCATGCTCTGATTCTGTGGTATAAGAAGTATTTAGACAGGGAGGGATGTAAAGTAAACATAGGCAAATAAGACCTCTACGTACATCAGCCAACAGCTTCTGATACTGAAAAAATCACAGTACCACAGCTTGAGTTGCTGATGCTAAAGCTCTGGGAGTCTTGTTTGGTTCTCAGTTGTGGGAACCCAGAAATAACTACGGAGAGGAAGGATCTTCCAATCCCTTTAGGAGAAGTAGCAAGCCTGGCACCAGCTTGTCCCAAAAACATACTTTATTCTCCCCTGCACATTTTCTAAACCAGGAATGACAAGACCCACAATATCTCCCTCCTTTGTATGGCAAGAACAGTTTTTCCTACTTTGCTGAGGAAGCCTTGAGAGATTTCTAGAATAATGCATAATATTCAGAGAATAACTTCTGAATTAATTCTCTTGTTGAAGAGAGTTGCCTAACTCTCTAGTTAGGCATTTAACAATACTAAAAATATGCACCACCATCACCACCACATATGCCAGCACAATATTTTCCTCCAAAATAATGACCATGGCTGAATGCAGTGCAACAGGTGTGACTTAAACTCATTCTGAAGGTGCCTACTGCATCAGGCTCTCCAGAGAATTCAGAGATAAGAATACTTTGTCTGTGACTCCTAAATAGCCACAGACATGAAATCAATGAAAAAAATACTTGCTTCAGATGAGAGGCTCAACTCTGTGAATGCTAACAAGATTGTGCACCCAAGTAGCATAACTTCAGAAGACCTAAGAGTTCCTAAGCTCCCCTCTTGTAGGAGATTCTTAAAATTTTATTTGTATCTAATGTTTAGTTTTTCTCCCGAATACTCAGATTTGAGTTATTTATTAACTTGTTTTTCATCCCAGCCACATATATGGGTAGTTCAAACATTCTGTCACTATACGTCTCCTTGCAACTATCTTACAGTGAGTTTTACTTGCCCTCATTTTTATATTTTTTTCTTGCATATGTTTCCAAGTTGCTAGTATCCCTCATTGAGTATGTTAAAATATTGCAAGATAATTTTATAGAGATATTCATATATTGTGTTATATACAAGAGCATCTAGATTCTTAAGATAGAATTCAGGGTGCACATTTTTCCTTTAGTCATATGTTGATAATATATTGATGTCTGAACTAATTACAACAGCCTAGCTTAGCTGAACTTTTCACGTAGACTGAGGGGTAATCACCATTTACCAGAAGCCACTGACTCACTGAAGAGAAGAATCATCCAGGAATACAGAATGTCCAGACAAGTGCAGATTACCCAAGATATTTTATTTCAATGCCAGCATACTGAAAATTGGTTTATTTTTCATTTGGTCAATCTCAACATAATATATTGGCCTTAAAATTCACCAGCAATGAACTAACTCACTCTCTAGTGAGTCAATGACTAAGGAATGCAACAAAAAGTTAATATCTAAATATTTAATTAAGTTAATATCTAAAATAATATATATAATATATATAAATATATATATAAGGCAAAGACCTCAAGCACAATGCTACATTTGTTATGTTGTCTTTTTTATGACAATACTAATATGTGGGTAAAGTGCCTTTCCATTTCCATTTAAATATAAAGAGCTCTCTCTCTTATATATGTGAGTCAAAACTTTTGAGCACGAAATTGTTTCTCATACTTACAACTTGGCCAAAATCCTGCCTTTCTGATTCAGCAGGTCTGTCCCTTTTCCTCCCAAGAAGACCCAGTAACTCCTGTAGGAGACTATCCTGTGCTGTTGACGCTCCCCCTGCTGACAGTATTCAATCAGGAAAATGCATTGCAAGGTCTTGAGGAAACAGTGGAAAGAAGAAACCATTTTGACAGTGTTCATGGGAAAAGTAACAGAAAGAGTAGAGGTAATTACAAGTAGAAAGAGATGGGTGACATCAGGGAACAGAGTGGCAAAAGGTCCGCAATCACTAATTCACATGTCCTGGGACTGAAACCTGACCTAAGCAAAAGAGAGGGAAGGCTGCAAAAGTTGTCATGGTTTTGAAGTTTATCTCATTTGCTTTTCCACTTTAAACGTTTATTTTGAAAGAACTTAAAGAAAGAACAAGAATTTCCCTGCAGCAAGGTAGCTCACAAGAGATATAGGAGATCAGGATTGCATCCCTGGTCTATATCATGCAGATAAGGGACTGAAGCTGAAGGCCCCACTAACTGACAATACCAAGAAGTTAGTGGTCATTTCCATGATGATGAGATTTTTCTTGTTTTGTTTTTGTTTTCTTCAGTTTGGTTTTGATATGTTTTTGGTTTTTGCTTTTATATTATACAGTCTTTGTTGACATTTCTTTACACTTATCTGCCGACAGTTTTGTCAGGATTATACTGCTGTCTTCTGATCATGCTCTTTCAACTGCCCCCTCCACTCCCAAATACTCCACTGAAAAACCAAATGAGTTTATGAACCTCAAAATTCTTTTACTCTCTAACTAACTCTATGAAAACTACAGCTTCAAAAGCCTGTGTTAGCTGTTAACAAACAGGATGACAACTATTATCTATTTTCTACCATTAGTTTGAGGGCTAAAGGATTTAGTAATACTACATTACTGAAGGAGTTCAGTAGTGTTGATGAATTTCTTAAGTATCAGGCTTTCAATTTTCATGCTCTTTTAAAACCTCAAGAAATTGCACAACAGCCCCACTTCTACAACATTCTCTCCATGTCAAAGAAATACTGCATCTGACCTACACAGCTGTGTTCATTATGGCACAGTCCTTAATTGCATGGACACTCTGTATTCCTGTCTTGAACATCAAACAATATATTTCCCTCCCAATAGAAAGTCACAGCTCTATAGCAAATCAAGCTGATGTTGTCATACTAAAATTATGAGCAGAGAGTGGAGCATAATGTTTATTCTATTTAAATAGTGCCACTTTGGAGAAATGGGTTTTATTCCCATCTTTGACAAAAGGACTGTAGGCAATTAAACACCCTAAGTTTTTCATAGATTATTATTGTGTTGTTCTCATTTCTCATTTGGTAGGCAAATCAAAGGTGGGATTTCTCATCTAGCTTTAGACATTTGCACAGTAAATATTTTGGTTGGATAAATGGCACACTATTTATAGCCACTGTCAATAAAATAAATGTAAACACCCTTACCTCAGCTGCAGACATTTACTGCTGTTGTGATTTCAACAGTAGAAGACGAATTTAAGAGATGAACACCCTCAAACACAGCTGAAGACAATGTCTCTATCTTGTCTTTTGCTGTAGCAAGGATCCAGAGATCATTTGTAACAGCTAGAAAAGGCCAAGTACACAAAGGCACTCAAGCTATGCACATTTTATGCTTGCAAGCCCAAATTAGATGGCAATTATTTGGTTATTTTCTAATCAATCATTGCTTTTACCTGTAAAATTAGTGTATTTTCTGTTTTGCACCAGTGCATTACTGCATGCTTATCAATGGCACACCTGTATATGTGAAACAGATATGCTAAAAAACTGTGAGATATTCTGAATATCTTGGTAGAGTGATGCTTCTGTGGCACACACACCCCATATTGCAGTTTCATAACTACCAAAATCTTTGTTGAGCTTTGTTGCCTTTTTTTAAATCTTTTTTTTTTATTTATTTATCTATAGCATTTAATATTAACTATGACCAAACATTTTACAATAGGAAATATTTTCATTGAAAGTTCATGGACATCATGAGAACTGGTCAGTTGTTTTTGATGAAGCACCTTTGAAAACAGTCAAAATACAAGACTTCCATCATCAAAATAGCACCTAGTCCAGCCACAGGATTATTCAATTCAGATACAGGAAACCCTAGTTCAATGCCCTGCTCCAGAGCAGGACAGAACATTAACTTGAACCTGAGTCTTTCACATTCCAGCTAAATGCTCAGAAATCTTTGTTTTCCTGCCAGCTCTAATCTATGTGGAAAGAGATGAAGAGAGACCACATTAGCTGCGTGTGGTTGCAATGAACAGCTTTAAATATGGCAGTAAAACTGTGAGAGTTTTAGCTTAGACATACTTGACACAAACAGTCTAGTTTTGCAAACATGACTTTAAGAAAAGGAGAAAATATGGAGCTGTTGTTTTTACAGATCATTCCCTAAATTTAGCATTAAAAACCTTTGGTGGGAAAGGTAGAATCTGTCTTTTGCTGTCACAATACTCTGCTACCATCACTGAATTTTGTTTAGAATAATATGGCCTTAATGCCCCCATCTCCTGTAGAATTGCTCAGACTGGTAGTTGATTAGAGTGGAGAGAGGTGCCAGTATTATCTGTGTTAGTGCTCCAGAGGTCATGCTACACTAACAAGACCGCCCCAGTCAGGGATGACGGAATCCAGCTGTTATGCCTTCAGCTGAATTAGAAGAATCCACTTAATGCCAGAGATGTGTCTCAAAAGATTAACTATTCTAACTAGTTGCTTTCCACCTCTGCAAAAGTGGCTGGCTCATCATTATTGTCCTCTTTTTAGCAGGGGCCTATGGTATACACAAAACCATTTAGCTCTTTAACCTTTTGAACTGTAAGGCACAAAATATGCATTATTTTAAATGGATAAAACAAAATTTTAACTTCACTCTTTTCTGCTTAAATGTGATCTCATGTATCTCTGCAAGAAGGCAATGCTCCACTTTAAAGAAATACACGTCTGCATTTTTAAAAAGTTAAAATTATTTTCTAGGTATTCCACCTTCCTCTTGTTTAGCAGCGGTGAGTCCCAATCTGAACTATAAGAGGAACAGCACAAGCACACTTGCAGTCATTTTACAGCACTGTTACAATACAGTCAGAAAGGCTGACATCCTTACACACAGGCTAACTATTAAGCAAACAAACAAACAAACAACAAAAGAACTTTAAAAGGTATAACATTAAATATATTAGCTATGTTCTCTTTATAGCACTCTCTGTGCAGCCTGAAACTTTTCCCTGACTAGCTTTACACTTTCTTATATGCTGCTTTGTGTTTTGTTTTGTGGCCTGTTTCGTTGTTGTTGGTCATGGTTTTTCTTTTTATTTTTCTTTTAACAGTATGCAAGTCAACATTGCTTTTGCTTCCAGGCTGCTCGCTTGTATCCATGGGAATGTCAGCTCTGTTCTCGGGCCACAGATTTATTACTTGGCCAGCAGAGGGTACTCGAGTTTTCTAATGACTTCACAAACCCAAAGGAAAACAATCTTAAAGTCAAAGTATACCTATTGTTTTATTCCATTTCCCACTGACACTAATTGCTATAGGTTATTTTGTTTTGGTTGTGTTTTATTTGTTTGTTTGTTTGTTTGTTTATTATTTTTTTCATTTCTTGAGTATTAAATTAGGCTGGACTGATCTCCAATTTTCTTCCATTCAAATAATCTTGCATAATGAAAAAAAAAAAAGCAAAGATGTTTAAAATTCAAAGAGCTACTTATAGTTGAATGTGGTTCAAATAAGTAAAGATTGTAATGGCATTACAGTTCTTCAGGTGTTTTAACACTATGTACACTCTTTCAAATAACATGTTTTTAGAATGCTGACCAATGAAAAGGAGAAGAGATTTTAAAAGCTCAAGAGAAAATTTTTGAATCCTGTGAGATATGAACTTGAGAATATGAAAAAAAGCTCCTGTTTTTCAATAGACATTATCATTTTCAAAATCATGGGAATTTCTATGTCAGAAATATATTTTATTTTTTATCTGTATTCCTGTTTTGCTGATAAAGCTGATGCTTAAGATATGAACCAAGCATACATTCCTCAAAATATTGCCTGATGATAACAGCATTAAAGTGAACGCAGAAACAGAGATGTGCATTTTCTTCAGCTTGCTCCTGGAGTTAAATAAACATATAAAGCAAGCTAGAGATGCCACAGAAAAGGTTTTCTGAGGTTTTAGGTGTTTTTATGTTGATTAGTTTGTCTGTTTGTTTGTTTTTCTCTTTATTACATTAATAATCCAGATCTTGCCTACAAAGTTTTCCCTATAAAAAAGCTTCGGTGGCTGGAGATTGAGTGGGATTATGACACCACAAAAAACAGGGAAGTGAAATTTGAGCAAATAAGATGGGAAGACATCTTCAGTTATTCAGTGATTTTAGTGACATAAAGGATCATACCATCATGTAGTCTGACTTCTTACATAACAGAAACCATGGAATTTCACCCTGTAATTCCTGTACTGTATCCAATAAAAATATGGTTGAATTACAGCACAGTATTTAGGAAGGCATCTGGTCTTGATTGTAGGAGTCTGGGCAAAATATTTCCTCCTAATACTCAGGTCATTCTAAAATGGGATGTAGGCGCCTAATTCACTTAGGCTTTTAATATTTTAATTGTATCTTTTTAAAATGACTGTCGGGTTTAGTGTGGAACCATAACAATACACAACTAACTTTTATCTTAATGATGTTTACAATGTTTTTTATAGAGAGGGAAAACAACATGAAACTACTGAAGAGCTTTCTCTTATGCATTGTAAGAGTGTCTTTGTCTCTCATTTATCCTTTCCAAATGGTATTTTTCATCAGAAGACATAAAAAATACCTTCTTGCAGGTGTAGGTTGTTGTTGGATGCAATATAAAAATAAATGAAGGAATATCAGAAACACAGTAAAATATGTCCTTAAGTAAATTAGATCAATAAAAAATTCTAAATTTTGCCTGTGTAGAGGTGGAAACAATGCTATAAGGATCAGTACCTCCTTACCATAGCTTTTTTGTCTTTCTCTACATAGCTCCCAGTCATATTTCTACAGCCTTTGGACTAAATTCTTCACGTTGAGGCTGGGAGATGACAAGGTGTTATGTGAAGAGATCTAATATTGTTTTTTATCTTCAGTGTCAGGGTAGATGACTTTGTGTTGGGAAGCATATGCTTCCTCTGTGTGCTACAGAGTCATCTTTAAACACTACTCAGGTAGGGAAAAACTCTCTGCTTACTATCTTATTAGGAAACTCATTGAGGCACTGTCTTTCTCAAGTGCATCTTGTCTATATGTACAAAGAACGGTTACATGAGTGGAAGTGCCATCAACTTTACCATTTAATTTACATTTAGTCAGACATGCAAGGAAAGAATACATCTTAAACATCAAATGGTCTGCAATAATGTATACTTGAAAACAAACAAACAAACAAACAAACAAAAACAGTGACAGGGCTTTTTCCCATTCCTATTGTTACTCCTATTGTAACTGATGTTGAGGTGAAGGCACTACTGAAGGATTAGCCAATGCAGAGTGTGAGGCACAAAGTATTGCAGCTACCCTCAGGGAAATCAGGGGCAGACTACAGTTCAGTAGCTATAGGATTCATTTGGACACTGAAACACGTCATCCTCTGTCTCATTACCTTTTGCTGAGATGGCCTCATCCCCTTGCTCACTGTGTGGTGTTGGCCAACTGTGACGAAGTCTGCATCCTGCATACAGCCAAAGAGGGATACTGGGCATTAGCTGGGCTGGGATGTCATGCACAGCTATTTGGCTGCCCAATTGGAGTTGTCTCTGCATGAGCAGGGCAAAGGAGCCAGGTATACCTCTGCCTGTGCAGGCAAGAGAATGAGCACAGCAGTCAACAAGGTTTCTAAATAGTAGCGGGGAGAAAAAGAAAAAAAAAAAAAAAAAAAAAAAAAGAGAATGGATGATGTGCCTTTAGGTAAAAGCTAGTGGATGACAGAAAACACAAATCTGTACAAAAAGTAATGTGGACATGTAAATTATAGATTAAAGGAGAAATTTTCAAAACATCCTAACTATCATTTAAAATGGAAGAAGGGAAGAAGAAGTCAAGGTTTTCTGTAATTTATTGACATTCTGAGGGATTTGGTAAGCGTTTTTCATTGGGAATTGTTAGAGAATGCTATGTCACCGTTTAATCAGAAGAAAGAATATGATCGTAGAACCGAGGGAATGTTTCTTGTTTACTTTGTTAAAATCAGTAAGAAAGTAGCATGTTAAATTGGAAAATAAGACAGTTAAAATGTTAGCTCAATAAAAACCATCATATATTGTTTATGGATTGCAGAGAGGGTTTGTTATTATTTTTTTTTAATTGTTCCTGCATTACTTGTGGGTATAGTTTATGCTGTTATGTTGTCAGGCTTCTGATAATGGGAAGAACTGTTTGTTTAGACTGTGCAGCTCTTCACTTTAATTCACTCTGG